CTACTGTTGCATTGAGCTCTGGAAAAGAGGAAAGGTAAGAGATGAAAATAAAGTGTTTATTGATTGTGACTACTGTGAGGGCTCTTGAACAGATTTGCTGAGGTGTGAGATCCTTTGAACTATTATTTCTACATATGGAATTAGGGGCATATGCTTCTATGATGCAATGAAAAAGACCCAACACCACCCCGAGATATTGCTTCCCCAAATGAATCTAATCATAAAGAAATGTCAGACAATCCAAACTGGAGAAATTCTGTTCCAGAATAAAGAACACAAAAGACATATGACAACTAAATAGAATACATGGTCCTAGATTTGGGTCCTGGAATGGTTTTCTCTCTATATATCTCTCTCTCTCTTTAGTCATCATCTAACTAAGTATCCATGTATGTAAAAATTATTATTGGGACAATTGTCATAAACTGAATAAAACCTGTAGATTACATAGCAATTGTGTATCATCATTAGTTTCCTTGTTTTGATTATTATAAATCTGGTTATATAACAGAATTTCCTGATTCTTCCAAAATACTAGAAATCTGGATGGAGAGTATTCTACAATCGTTTAACTCTTTTTGTGACTTAAAAAAAATAAGTTTAATGAGACTTCCGCCAAGATGGAGGCGTAGGTGGAAGCACTGCACCTTCTCACACAACCAAGTTTAAAAACAACAAAGTTTTAGCAACAAAAACTCAGCCAAACCACAGAAAATTGAACTACACGGAAGTCTGACAACAACGAACCCTTCAGCCAAACCTGTAAGAGGGGCAGAGCCAGCAGCAGTGTGGGGTTGGGCAGGAAAGATCCACCTGACCGACCTGGGCTCGCGACCCAGGTGTGCCAGCAGCCGTGGGTGGATCCCAGGTGTGGAGAAGCAGGCGGACCCACTGAGGGCTGATCGTGGTCACACAGTTGCCCGCAGATAAACAGGTGAAGGAGCGAGCAGTGAGACGGACCGCATGCGCGGGCCCCAGTGGTGGAAAGCGGCAGGGGAACCACCATTGTCCCTCTCTGACCCCACCCCCACAGACAGCATCACAAACCAGCAACCTGAGTGGCCCCGCCCCGGTAAACATCTAAGGCTCTGCTCTGCATACATAATAAGCACGAACATATCAAAACATGGCTCAAGAGCCCTAGAGCCCATAAATCTAAGCAATGAAGAAATAGCCAAACTTTCAGATGCACAGTTCAAAACACTGGTGATCAGGATGCTCACAGAACTGGTTGATTTTAGTCACAAATTAGAGGAACATATGAAGGCTAAACTAATTGAAATGAATGGAAATGCACAGGAAACCAATAGTAATGGAAAGGATACTGGGACTCAAATCAAAGGAGTGAACCAGAAAGAGGAAAAAAAATGACCAAATAGAAAAGGATGAAGAAATAAGAATTCAAAAATATGAGGAGAGGCTTAGGAACCTTCAGGACATCTTTAAATGTTCCAACATCCGAATTATAGGGGTACCAGAAGGAGAAGAGTAACAGCCACAAGTGGAAAACTTATTTGAACAAATAATAAAGGAGAACTTGCCCAATCTGGCAAGGGAAATAGACTTCCAGGAAGTCCAGGAAGCTCAGAGAGTCCCAAAGAAGTTGGACCCAAGAAGGAACACACCAAGGCACATCATCATTATATTAGCCAAGATTAAAATGAAGGAGAGAATCCTAGAAGCAGCAAGAGCTAAGGGGATAGTCACCTACAAAGGAATTCCCATCAAACTGTCAGCTGATTTCTTAAAAGAGACCTTACAGGCAAGAAGGGGCTGGAAAGAAGTATTCCAAGTCATGAAATCCAAAGACCTACATCCAAGATTGCTCAATCCAGCAAAGCTTTCATTTAGAATGGAAGGGCAGATAAAGTGCTTCTCAGATAAGATCAAATTCAAGGAGTTCGTCATCACCAAGCCCTTGTTATATGAAATGTTAAAGGGACTTACCTAAGAAAAAGAAGATAACAAAGATGAACAGTGAAAGGACAGCAAACTCACAGTTGTTAAGAACCACACCTAAAACAGAAGCAAACTAAGAGGACAGTTGGATCAGGAGCAGAACCATAGAAATGAAGATCACATGGAGGGTTAGCAAGAGGGGAGTGGGAGGAGGAGGTGGGGGGGGAAGGTACAGAAAATAAGTAGCATAGATGGTAGGTAGAAAATAGATAGGGGGAGGGCAAGGATAGTAGGGGAAATATAGAATCTAAAGAATTTGAGACACGTGGTCATAAACTAAAGGGGGGAATGAGGGAGGAGGGGGTGTGTAGGGTGGAGGGGAATGAAGGGGGGAATAGAACTGTAATGGCATAATTAATAAAATATATTTAAAAATAAGTTTAAAGTTATTTCAAAATAAAATACTATAAAAATTAGGGATACAAATTTATGTAATCAAACCAAGAGACATACTCTGTTGTGGACCATATGTTTGTGTCCTTCAAAATGCATGTTAAAATCTAATCCCCAATATGATGGTGTTTTGAAGGGGGATGTTGGGGGGTGATTAAGTCAGAAGGGTGGAGCTCTCATGAGTGGAATCAGTTCTCTTATAAAAGAGGCCCCAGAGAGCTCTCTCACTCTTCCTCTGCCACCTGAAAACAGACTGAGGAGAAGGTCAGCTCTAACCAGGAAGCGGGTCCTCACCAGACAATGAGTCTGCTGGCACCTTGGACTTAGACTTCCAGCCACCAGGACTGTGACAAATATATATTGGTGTTTAAGCCACCCAGTCTATGGCATATTTATTACAGCAACCTGAACAGAATGAGACACGTACCTTGAATAAAAACAGTCATTATACTGAATCAGGTTAAATTGTAACCATGCTAAACATTTGTTAAGAGACCTAAGGGTGTTTGTTTCTCTCAGGGTTAGTTTCAAAGTGCAGTGCGGCACACTGGATCGTGTGTAATTGCCAGTAACACAGTGTAAGAATGAGGGCCGACAAACATTTAGTGTTGCAATAATATAAAAGCCTCAGGAGCACTCCAGCCAAAACAAGTCCTCAGAGACGCCTCAGCATCCCAGTGCCAACAGGCTGTAGGGAGCTGAGAAGGATCTAAAGTAGACATGAGTCTCAGGCTGACCATGGACCAGTTGATCTCTTGGCAGTTTTCTGTTTTCTGTAGCACCCAGGAAGGGAGACCCCTTCCAATTAATAGATTTTTCTTTTAACAACGACCCTCAGAAAGCAAGGTTAGTCAAAATGCTTTGTATTTGGACAAAAATATCTCTGAATTCACTTAACGTGGACAGTGCTACACACTGACTTCCATGGGCCCTAGGTCCTTTTGCTTTTGAGGGGCTCTCCATCGTAATGATATTCTTTTCTGTTTGAGGCAAAATGCAGTAAATTTTCATGGGCCCAATTTTATCTTTTTCTGTACACACACACACACACACAACACTTTCCTTCACTCTAAAGCTTTATATTTGTATTATTTAAAAATTAAATTATTTTCATGAGCTTGTAAAATAATTTATTCTAAAATCACTGTGCCTACTATGCCTAAAGCGTGTCAACCCTTATTAGAATCAGAATTTTAATTATTTGAGCTCTATCTCTATACTTGTGAAGGAAGCATATTTTAATTGATGTGGGCACTTGGTTGCTAAAAATCATATCTTGTTCCCTAACATGTACATTTACATGTCTGAATATTAGCTGCATTTCATAAGTCTATGTATCACTATTTATACTTACATCCATTTATGTGATATTACATGGGAAGCCACAGTTGAGAGTTTGTGTGTATTTACAGTTAACTTATGTAGCCCATGTATTTTCTTTCACTCAGCGTCATTTTGTTGAAGTCCCAGACGACTGCCATTTCCTTTCTGGGCCGAGGGACCCTGGGGGGATCCTAGACCCTCCCCACGACCTGCTCTTCAACCAATTGTACTTTTTAGCATCTGCTTTCTGTACTTGCTTTCTTTCTTTTTATTTGCATTAATGGGTTTATTTTTAAAATAAGACATTTCTGTGACATAGTTGTGTGTTTCTATTAATTCTTTCTGAGTGTAATTTTGTTGATGAGATCATAGCTTACCTCCTGTAAGGGGCATTGTGGTGTTGCAGAGGTTTCTGAACAATGAAATGGAAGAAAAAGTGCCACACAGGGGCACATGATTAATTAAAAAATCTACAAATATTAGTCTTCCAACTGGATGTTATGCAAACAATCAGTGAAAATCTTTTTGAAAAGACATCGATGTCCAGAGGGTGCCACACATGATCTTTTATTTGCAACAACCTGCTTCTTAACACGAAGACATTGTCCATGGTCCTCACAATCATCATATTAGAGCTGAAAGGGGATCTAGTAGAGTTGTAGCTTTTGACGAAATTAGTCTGTTTTCCATTCCTGCACCACTGTTTGCATTGTGCCAAGTGTTAGTGCAGTGCCTTAATGCCAGAGCAGGAAGACAGAGTCTACTGCTTTCCATTGCAAACTTACCAGTGAATGAAAAGTGATTCAGAAAGACCACACTGTAAATACTCAGAAATCACATAAGTGCTTTCTAAAGTGATTACTGATTTGGTTTGTGCAAAAATGAAATGTCCAGGTTCTGGATATTCACTGGTGAACAAAATGGCAAGAAACAAATTCCTGTCTTTAGGACACTTAACGTGGTACAGATGTCTGTTTAGTTTCACCCGCTCTGTCCCCTAACTTCTGAATTCCATAGCGATGGTTTCATTTATTTGATAAACTAAATTCCAAAACAATCGGGAGAGCTGGCTAACCTCTATTCTGCAGAGAGAATCGAAGAAGCAAGAGAAAGCTTCAGAAATAAGAACTAAATCTGAACTGGGTATTAGTGTGATTGAGACAACTCCAAGGGCACGTTGGCTAACCCTGGCAATCTGACCCCGGTGATTCCCTTTTTAGTGACAGCTGGGGTCAGTGGCCTTTGGCAGTGTGAGTGAGGTGCCCATAGCTTCCAGGAAACTGTGGGAGAAAAACCTGTGGGGATCATTTCAGTTCACCACTGAATCCAAAATACAATGATTTCAATGACAAAGGAGTATCTAAACCAGATAAATAATCCATCTCTTTCTTTTTTTAGCATGGAGCTCATTCATGAAGAGACCACTGCTTGGACCTGCAGCAAGAATGGGTGCAGGAGTCTGTACAGATAATTTGGTGGAGGTGAGTTGATTTTTCTCAATTAAAATTCTTCATTTATTATCCAACTGGTAAGGAAGACTTAGAAAAATCATCTTATCTGATGAGATGGCACAAACCTTTTTTTGCAGCAATGTAAGAGGTTTCTTTCATACATTTGCCTCTTTAATGATAGGGAAAAAGGACAGCAATAGCAATTTTGCTTTTTTAATAACTGAAAATGTGAAATGAAATGAAACATAAAAGAGTATTAATTTCTCCAAAAAGGCACAACAAAATTTCCTTTATTCTTTCTTAATTTGTTGCTTGTTAGTAATTGCTTTTAGGGATTTTAAAGCCTCTGGGGATTGTGTCCCCAGGAAGACACTGGTCTGCTCAGAGACTCCCAGCGAGACGGATCCAAGAGATCAAGGTGAAGCTGCAAGTCTGTCTATTCGTCTTGAAAGTCCTGCCCCATCATTGGTGCCACATCATTGGCTCCATATCCAATCTGTTAAGCAAGTCCTCAATATCAACTCAGCCTTAAGAAGAGGGGGGTTAGATTCCACCTTTCAATGGAAGGAGTAGCAAAGAATTTTCAGCCATCTTTAAGTTGCCACAAAAGAATTGAAAACCAGGGTAATAGCCTAAACTCCCCATGTTGTGGATGGAGGTGCTGTGATAGGACCTCAATTTTGAGTAAGTGCAATTAACTCTGAAACTCAATACATGATGCTTAGGACTTTGGGAAAGCTTAAAGCAAAAAAACTTTCTTAGAAACTTGCCACATTGCTTTTGGCCTCTCTCTAATAAAGAATACCTTTAGTTGTCTGCTTATAACTTCTCCTGAGAAAGCCTTTTAATTCCAATTTACTTTTTATACGAGCTAGGAAAAAAACCCAAATTTTCAAGTCGAGTGGTAGATATTAACAGATCCTGTAGAACTGAAAAGAAGGGAGAGGAAGCAGGATTGGGTAGAGGAGAACAGTGGAATTGCTTATGAAGGCTCCATGAGAGACTTAGAGAACCTGGCAGGACAAGCCCCAGAGCAAATATGGTTGTCCGGCCCAGTGACCACCTTCATACTCTCACTAAGCCTCGGGATGCAGGCTGCCTCAGGGGTGGTGTAGGCTGCCTCAGGAGGGGTGTGAGCTGCCTTGGTCCAGGCAGCTCCAACAAGTGCTTAGTTGCAGCGGGGTCTGGGCAGTGGAATGCCATTCTACTGCCATTGCTTGAGACAGAAAATACAACAACAACAACAAAATGACTGTACTTTTGCAGACATCATTAGAGATTCCTGAAGCAATGAGTCACATAATTTAATGATAATTTTAGCACACTGAAAATGGAATTGAAGAGTATTTAATATGGATTATAGCTAAAAAATATCTGCTCCCCTGTTTTTATACACACACACGCAAATCCTCATTTGACACGACAGAGTTAAAGGTAAAGAAAGTAAGTCACAGGAGTATGAGTAGGAAGAATGCAATATATTCAAGCTTTTTAAATTTCCCCACTATTAAATTTATTCATAATATCAATTCTTATGGATCCCTTCTGTTTTTTGCATTTATATTCTTTTGTGTACGTGTGTGTGCTTTTGTAAAAACAGAGCCTCTAATTCAATGTATGGTAATAAGATGAAATTTAAAGCTTAAAAATGTTACTAAAGAGAAATCGTGTTGATTCAGTTTTTAATATTTTCATGTTATTTTGCACTTTAAGATAGAACAACTTTTTCACATTTTTAACCAGAATATTTTGAGACTTCAAAGATCTCACTGGCTCTCAGCATGAACTTAAATAAATTCTTATTCTCTCTAAGCCTCGGTTGCTCAGCTATGAAATGGAGATATGATGCCATGCCCTCCATAAGATCACCGGGAACGTTAAATGATGCCCTGCCGTAGATGGCTTGTGACCGTGGCTGGCACAAAGAAACAGTCCTTATGTGTAACTGACTATTCTGTGATACTGGTAACTATCCTTTCATTAGCTAAAATCAGCCATTACCATATGCTACAGTTTTGCAAAAGATAGTTGTTGAAAAGTGATGCTTTAGTACTGGAAATCCAAAGCTCTAACCCCAGAGTTCTGTCTCCAAAAAGTTTCCAAATCTGTCACAAGGTGGCCCCAAATACATATCCTGCCTGACTCTGCACTCATGGAAAATTGATCAAGCAGAGAGAAGACACTGCAGCAAAAAATGCATGGTAATAATAACCCAAAGTATAGGTGGTCCATTTAATAATCGGCTCCATTTGGCCAGAGGAGAGAAAAGCAAGCCCTATATATTTGAAATGGGCAAGAAGGCAGTCAAATGTGTCTAGACATTTGTCTTCAAGGCTAGTTTCAGTAGAAGTTGGTAAATCAACCTATTGGTGCTGAACACTTCAAGTACATGGTCTAGCATGTCTGAGAAAAACCTCTAATCTTTTGCCTTTCCCCTACTTTATAAATTGGTTATTTTGCAACTATTTACCTTTTGGCTTTACCTGAGTACTTCTTTCCTCTTTATCCTTTCCTACTTGTAACACAGAGAAAAACAATGGATTATAAATGATGTAAGACCCTGGCAGGAAAGCCTCAGATTAAAGGTTTTATGAGATTGTGACTAATTCGTTACCTCTTCCTCTTATCTCAGAATCCTGGAAGTCTTAAAATGGAGCCCCCAAAAGTTTTTTCTGACAGTAAAAATTTTTTTCCATGCTAGGTAGTATAATACTAGAGGCAATGCTTAGCAACTGATAGATAATATTGGGGTAAATCTTAAAGAATTAATACAGAGGAACTGAGCATATAAGAACAACTGCATATAGTTAAGGGTCTTGGCACTAGAGTCAGAAATTTGGTATTCCAGTTTAACTTAATTAGAGTGTAGTTCGGATAAGTCTCTTTAAGAAAACCCTACTTAGTTCATAGAGGTCTTGTGAGAATTACCTGAGGTCGCATATAAAATGTGGAGCATTTTGTTTGGAATGTGGTGAGGACATAAAGCACATCTTATTACCATCACGGCTCTCTGTGATGGTAATAAAATTATCCCATGCTATGGTGGGATAATGAAAAGAATTGATTTAATTTCCAATGCAAAGAGCCAAGCCTATCCTTGCTGGTATTGCTCAGCTGATTCTGAACTGAGCCTCAAAACCCACCTCTAAATGATGTGATACCTTCTTTGTTTGCTCTGTGGATGGACAGGTGGTGAGCAGTGTAGGCAGACACACAAACCTCGCCTGCAAAAGCACCTGCAACCTGGAATTGAACAGGATGATCTGAATATGAACTTTAACCAAAAAACATAGAAAATTATTTTTGAGTGAGCTTATAGACTTTTTGAAGTAAATGAGAGAGACCTGATTTGATTGTGCATGCTTTATCACATATTTTATTTTTATCCCAGAAAAGAAGCAGAAATAAGATGGAATTGTTAAATTCAGTGATCAACAGAAGTCTTTCCTTTACCTGTCCTGAAAGTAAAAACATAAAATTAGACAGTCCAATTGTAGAGTAGAAAAACCACAACTCATAATCAAATGTGACTTGCCTCATACTCAGAATTGCTCACTCAATATTTTACTTGAATTGTGAAAGTTCCATTGTGGATGATTTATGGTGAGGGCTTTTGCTGTTCACCACCAGGACCAGAACCTTGAGCAGGGTTTGCAACACCAGTTGTAAGGCATCTGTTTGGTGTTCTCCTAGTGTGTTAGAGAAAGGGTTCAGTGCTTATTTTCCAAAACAAATCTGTTATTAAGGCACAGCTGATTTCATCCAGAATGTAGTTTTATGCCTAATACATTTCAAGATGGGTTCAAATGCAATATTTACATACAACCTTTTGAAGCATATCAAAAGCTAAATTACACTGTTACTGACTAAAAACCAAATTCAAAGATTTTAGCATGTTTATTTATACACATACATACTGTCTACATACATACATAGTTAATGAAATGTGTACACTCACACACCAGGTACTCTGTTGCTTATTTTTATATATTATTCCATTTAATTTTAACAACAATAAGTATTATTATCTCCATTTGACATATTAGGAAAGTAAGAGCTTAATTCATTAGATTAGTGATTTCCAAAATGTTGGCTATGTACTATTTTATGATGTAATAATTAATACACATGAAAGAAACATTTACCAAAAATGTAAAGTTTCAAGTATAATGAAAAGTATAATAAAAGTGAATGTCCCCTGGCTGGTGTAGCTCAGTGGATTGAGCGTGGGCCTGCGAACCAGACAATCGAGGTTCGATTCACAGTCAGGGCACATGCCTGGGTTGCAGACCAGTTCCCTGCAGGCCAGTTCCCAGCAGGGGAAGCACGAAAGGCAACCATACATTGATGTTTCTCTCCCTCTCTCCTTCCCTTCCCCTCTAAAGATAAATAAATAAAATATTTATTAAAAAGTGAATGTGCATGAGTGCATACTGTAAACATCAAAACTGGGACTTTATCCCTATGATCAAATCTATGGGCTCTACCAATCTTCTCTCCCTTTGCTTCCAGGGTTAATTACAACCCTGAACTTTGATTCATTCTTGCAGTTAGACATGTAGGTATTTTTCAAAATTGGCCTAGACATTAATTTATTGATAGCACTTTTTTGTATAGAACTGTATCACTAGTTTGGCAGTCGTGGTTTTAATCTGAACACTGGAAGCACAATTCTAGGATTTTATACTTTCTGCTCAGAAGTCATCAGTTTGTTCTGTGGTTTTAACTCAGTACATGTGATTTTTTGACAATCACTTACTTTGCTCTGACTCAATCAGAAAAACTGAATTTAGCATTACAGTTTAAAATAGTTTTCTTAAAACTTTCCAGCACTTGAGATTAAACAATAAGATAAAATGCATGATCTCATCATTTTTTACCAGTTTTTTATGGTGCCCATGAGCATGTGGAAAATGTAAGAAACCAAAAACTGTTTTCTGCTGCTTATTAGATCTTAGAAGCATCAGACTGCAGAAAACTCTTCAGCTTTTACTTTGGTTACTCTTGCAATATACCTGCTATTTCTTGGGCACTGGCTATAGGCTTTATGTCTATATCATTCAATAATTTCTGTCTGAATTGTTGATAAAATTGATTAGATGACCCTCTCTTCCCCTAATCAAATATTTACTAAGCACCTACTAAGTGCTAGGAACTATCAACTTCAAATCTGGGGCTTCAAATATGAGAGGCTACAATCAAGGGTGTTAGAAGATCATACAATATTAAGATAATATCAGCATACTTATTTTTAATTCATTTAAGGAAATGTTTACAAAGACGAATAAAATCCAGTTGTAGAAGAGTCCTAGAGGAGTTTGCACAGGCACTGGGGGTGTCTGGAACTCTGCGTTATGACCCTTTGTGACAGGCAGCTGTTGCCTTGAACGGGCGTCAGTGGAAGGTTGCATGTCGGGCACCTCATCTCTCCTGTGTCATCCTTTGTAGCCAACAAAATTCACACACTGAAAAATACAAGTGTCCAGCACTTTCATAAAGGTTTGGGAGCAACTAAAGAAGTATGAGATGAGCCTGGTGTAGCTTCCTATGCCAGAAAGTATGAAAGTGCTAAAAAATGGAGGGATCTGTCCAAAGAACATGGGAGCCAGCTTGAGGAGTCCTCATGGAGAAGGGGGGATGTGAGCAAAGATCTCAAGGAAGTGAGGGGTTTAACCAAAGAGATACCTGGTGGAAGAGAATTCCAGGCAGAATAAACATTCCTGAAAAATCTATTCTCAAATGGAAAGCTCTTGGCATGGTTGCTGTATGTTTAAGGAAGAGCGAGGAACCAGTGGGGCTGGAGTGAGCAAGGGGGCAATAGTCAAAACTGCCACAGCATGCAAAGCCTTGTGACTAATTTCTAAGGACTTGGGCATTAGCTCTGAGTGAGAGGCAAGCCAATGGTGGATTTTGAATAGAGTCCTGGTCTGGCTTATATTTTGAAAAGACCCCACAGGAAAGCGTTGTCAAGAATAAACATAGGTGAACATAGGCACAGAGTTACCAGTTACAAAGCTATTGCAGTCATTCCGGTGACTGAAGATGGCAACCCAAGCCAGAGGGTCAGACCAGGAGGGTACTCGTGCAAGTGGTTAAAATTTGGGAGTAGAGCCCACACGATTTCCTGTTGCATCGGACCTGGAGTATGTGAGAGAAGAGAGTTGAGGATGACTTTTAAGCTGGCTTGTAATAATATTCCAGGTGACAGATGCATGGATAGAGATGATGGAACAGGAGCGGTTGGCTTGCACTCAAGTGATATTGTAGAGTAAAACTGGTAATAATTGGTGACAAAACTGCCATTTATTTGAAATGTACATGCTTATCAGTTTAGGGCATATTTTATACTTCCTTCTACCTTTATTTCAAAAGAATTCTCGTAATTTATTCCACCCTACAGATTGCCCCGTACTAGTGGTCTTATTTCTCTTGTTCTGAACCATCAGTGTCTTCTGTGAATACTTGATGTTTTGCATAATAATTATAAAAGATAAATATTTTGGGATATAAATCCTAATGTTTTTAATGTATTGGTAATTAACAATGAGGGGAAGGGGGAAATGTGCCCACTACTTGTGTGTGTGTGTGGACAGTAGTAGTGGTGATGGTAGTGATCTACAGCTTTTTAAAGTTAACTTTTTTCTCTTTCTCTCTTTTTCAAGTTGGGGGACCAGACTTGACTGGGAAAGCTACGATCAATTAATAGGTAGTTTGTCATATATTATTGTAAAAGTTCACTAGGCAAAATTGCAAAGCCAACAATTGTGAAGCAATTTCCCTCTTTGTCACCTTTCTGCCTTTATTCCCGAGCTTTCTTGCCCTCCGCCCACCCTTTGTCCCTGTCTGCACTCCCTACTAGAGCTTTGTTTCTGTGTCCTGCCCTCTGCTAGACCAGAACCTGCCTTCCAGAGCCTCGACTTCTCCTTCCAAATAAAAATGACCTCACCCCCACATGCCCCAACTTCACCTCCACCTCAATGCTGCAGATCAGTAAGGAATTGATCTGGTTATAGTGCTTGATCCCAAGAGTAATGAATGAGCCAAGGCTTTAATCAAAGAACTTGAAAAAGAATTTGCAGAACAAAAGCCATGTATAATGAGATAATATGTGGGGGTAATATTTTATTGCAGACTACCTCTTTTTGAACAACACCCTAACAATGCACAGACACAAGCCCCACACTCCCATGCTTAAAGTACAATTGCTAAAAATGAGTTTTGTGGCCACATGCAATTCTTTGCCCCCAGCTTACATTGTCATATATAGCATTAAGCGTAGGATAGGTTTTTGTGTATGTTATGACAATTTGCTCTTAAATGCAATTCTTAGCTTCCTAGAAGGAACTGTGGGTGTGTGCATTGTTTTATCTGGAGGAATGCATTCTTACAAAAGTTGAAGGCAACAGAGTCTTAACAGGGTCAGGATGAAGGGGGTGTAGAGAACTAAGGGGCCCTTCAGTATTTTAAATGACTTTGGTTCCCTCACTCAGACATAATTTACTTTCCCTGTATCAGAATTAAATTATTACATAAAGAACAGGAAAGGTCATTCTTTCTTCTTTTGTAGTTAGAGAATATTTCCAACTATGTCAAAGTAAAATAACTAATGGAAGTGTTTTAGATTATAAACATAAGGAAGTACGGGTCTATGTATCAAGGAGGCCCTCAGTGCTATTAATTCTGTCTCTGAGAAGGTACAGATAAGCTGTGGGTGGCCCCATGAAAGATGGAGAAACTGCTTGACAGGGTAGGAGGTTTCTCAACATAATAAGTAGAATCATTGAAAGGAATCAAGAGCCTCTGACTCACAGCCTGTGTTTTGTAAAAGAAAACCACATTTAGAAGTTTAAATTCATAGCCAAATAGCTCCAAGCACAACTAATCAGAATGACTATGAGGAAATCAGCCCTCTGGGAAAAATACATAAGAACTGGAACCTCTTGCACCAAGTGTTGAACACATTCCAGAAACTGTGGTGGTGTCTTAACTTTGATTACTGTAATGTAAAGCTAAAGAAAGGAGGGGACACTATCACCATCCTGAGACTAAACAAAGATGGGTGTTGTGGGGCAACTTGATAATTCCTGAAGGCAACATAGGACCAAAAAATACAAGCCAAAGAACTTTAAATTGGGCAACTGGATATTAGAAAGCTAAAGGATTTTTACAGTCTATGGAATACCCAGAGAGAAAAGTATTTCTGTAGACAAAATATTTTTGCCATGTCCCCATTTTTAAAAAGAATTGCCATACTTTTCATTCTTTCAAAATGAGAACCTGAGACAAGGCCTTGCATGCTGGTAGTTCACTTGTGAAGGGGACCAGGACACCGGAGTGAGGAAGCAAAGTGGAACCAGGAGGGGCAGAAAGCCACCACAGGTAGGTGTACCTCGTGGATTTGTGGCAACGGGGTTTCTATTTCCCAGAAATTTCTAGAAAGCACGCAGACTGCCTCCTAGAATTGTCTGTCACAGAAGACCTGGAGTCTGGAACATATAACTGTCAATTCTCCTCATCCAGTGGTTGGTTCCCTGGGAGCATCAACTCCTACCCCTACTTGCAGCTGCTCTTCCCCACTAATCAAGCGGATGCCTATTACCTCTGGGAAAGTTGTGAAGACAGAATGTAGGGAGGCAAAGAGGGCAGCTACCAGTGCAAGGTGAATCTGAGATGGTACAAAAGTCATCTACACAATTGTGATTGAAATTAAGGTTGAGTTTAGAGTATGTGATGTGGAGAACAATAAATGAATGTCAGAGGCTGCCCCTTGTTCCACTCAGAGATTCACCAAAACACCAGAGAAATCCCCTTGGTCACTGGGTCTGAGTGGGACCAGCTACAGTCCCTACGACTGCAAGTGGTCCCAGGCCATCATGGGTATTTGTCATCTCCCTTGTCCACACTTGCTCAGATTTTTGTTACCCTTGCTGAAGAATTGGGCTGATTACATTCACTTACCTGGAGGGATAACATGGAACTCCATCCCTGAGGGAATTTAACTTTTAGTTGTCCTGCCATTATTTGGCCACAGTTTTTTAATTGCCCATTTCCTATTTTCCCATGGCATAGAAACACCACAAGTCCCCACATGCATCAGCAGTGCTCACTCCTCGTGATAATCAGGGTCAGTTATGTCAACCAGAATAGTAACTCTTTCATTTATCTGCTGGTCCATGAGCACGAGGAGTCCAAAGTGACCAGAAGGAAGTTGGAGTTTTAGGTTCAGTGGGACACTTTGGTGGGTGCTGGCACCAATGTTCTCGGAACCAAAGCTTTGATTTGTCAGACCTTAGCACTGTGAGTTTCAGAAGCTCAAAATCTGGAAGCGGGTTGCTGGGCATGGTTGCTAGAAAGCTGAGTGCTGCTTCTCCCTGGTATTTCCCCGATCCCCGTATATATTCTGCACCACACAACGACCGTTGTTTTCATACCTGTACCACACCCTGGAGAACAGCACCCTTCCCTGACGTTGAGTACCATCCCTGAGCTGGTGCATTCTAGCTAGAATTTAATGTCAGTGTTTACCTAAGTCTGTCATCGTTGTCACAGTGGGGAGTCACATGGTTTAGGTCAGAAATCCACTCCATTCTACTATCTTCCTAAAACCCTGACACTCCCTTCCCCTAAATATCTTTTCTCTGCTAATTTCCAAAAATTTATGCAAAAAACTTTAGCCATGGCTCACTTAATATTCTTCTCAATTCTTTTATCCATCTTCCTCTTCAGTCTTTAAGCTTCAGGTGGCTTTCCTTAGATGAGTTTACTGTTCTTTATAGTGAAAATGAATCCAGGTTTTAGTTGTAGCTCCTTCCAAGGCTCCCAGTATTCCCTCCTCCAAGCAAGGTAACAGAGATCCTGAAATGCACTAGCTCCATCCTTAGATAGAGGAGGAAGGGAGGGAAGAAACATGGAGAATACTTACTCTTCTCATGCCTGTTCACACTGAACGAACGTTCAAATACACAGTGTAGTTTCTCTTCCTATCCACTGAAACCATTCACCAGAGTGTCCGGGGAAGGGAGCCTCTGTGCTGGGTCTGGTCCTTTCCCGAATATTCCGTGCTGCTCTGTCCTACACTGCTTTTGCAGGAATGTCCACTTCCAGCTTGCTCTATTTCCTAGTCTATACTATTTACCCCTGATCATTATTATTCTATAGTTACATATTTGTTAATAATCAAACTTCAATTATTGAGTTGTCTTCATTATTTCACTTTTTTAGAATGTTTTGCTTTCTCTCAATATGATTTGCAAGATATTATACAATGCTTTCATCTTGGAAAAGAGTTGCGTGATTTTGCAACTCTCTGTCTCTAACCTAAACTGTGTGTTTGGAGGCGGGAGGGGCAGGAGGAGGGTTTTGCCCAGACAGGAATGTTCAGCAACCTGTGACGATGTAATGCGTGTCAGTTCCTTCACATCTTACTTGGGGTACAAGCTGGAAACACATCCTCATTTCACAGTGTTACACTCTTTCCCTGGGTCACTGTTGAACACCCCCCAAAGCATTAGTTAGAGTTGTTGCCACTTTATCTCTTCATTCCCCAAACAATGTGGGTTACACTATTGCTAAGGCCGTCTATTTTTATTCCTCAGAAATTATATCACTTTACTGAGAGTAGGTAAAAATGTATACCAGGCCTTTGACAGTATTTCCGGCCTTGTTATAACATACAGGGGACTACGTACTAATAAAGAGGGACTTATTCCTGCGATACCACATTTCTCCCAAACAAAAGCTTGGATAAGGCCACAATATGAAGAATTTTTTTGTATTTTGTTATAACAAAAAAATGAATGATACCGTGGGAAAGGGCGAAGGGAAAGGAGAGAAGTAGAGAAAACTGAAGGGCGTGTGAACTACAGCTCCCAGCTTTGGATGTTTCTTCCTCCTTTTGGCAGCTGGAATAATGGGGGAAAGGAAATGTAAACAAGATGAAGAGCATAGGACAGAGAAGGGGAAAAGGAAATGTAAACAAGATGAAGAGGATAGGACAGAGAAGGGGGAAAGGAAATGTAAACAAGATGAAGAGAATAGAGAAACATTTGGCTATTTGAGTGGCTAGCTTGAGTTGTTTTTCTTTTGTATTAGAATGTTGACAGATGTTTCACTTTAACTGAGCCGAGGCTCCTTCTCCCAATTCTCTATGAACATTTTCGATTTTGAAAATTTCTCTTGCCAGTAGCCAGATCCAGAGTGTTGAATATTGGAGTAGCTGTATATGTTACAGCATTGCCCACAGGGAGAGCTTCCACATGACTGAGCATAATTTATCATCCAATTCAAAATAGGGGCTACCCCTGGAGATGCATGTAGGGAGAGTCCACAGCAGCCCCAGCTGCAGTGGTAATATCTTAGTTCCTGAAGGGAATGGTAGACATACTATTTATTAGATTATTTTTATACTGCTTTGAATTTCTAAAATATTTTCCTATAATAATTTTTAAATTAATCAATTGAATAAGAACAAAGGATATATGCTTTATGATTATTTACCTGTCAATACTGAGGATGTCTTGTTAGCTCGACACCCACTAGTAAAAAGGTAATCAATACAATAATATGATAATTCTTGCAAAGGCTTTATGCAAACTCTGTTCTTCAATTACTCAAAAGAAGGCATTATTACATGATCACAAAGGGGTGTCATGAAGGATTTTTTAACATTCCCCTTTTCCCTCCTTTTATACATCGTTCTCCTACTCTACTCCTGATGTGCTAGGAGAAGCCCGCAGGGCATTTTGAGGGTTTAGAGCTTAGACAACCTATTTAAAAGAAGAGAGATTTGAAAAGGGTCTTTCCAGCTGGAGTGGTTCCTTGTCCCCTGCCCCACTTCCTTCTAGGGACTTTGGGCAAAGCCCAGAGACAGCTTTGATTGTCACCACTTGAGAAAGAGGGTATTGTTGGTACCTACTGGGTAGAGGGCAAGGATGCCATGGAACACCACATAATGCACAAGACGGCCAATTATCTGGCTCAAAATGTGAATAACGCTTAGTTCGAGAAACGCTGTTCTGAGATAAGAAAAGTTTTTGCTGGTGTGGGGGTGAAGTGGGTTGAAGGATGGGAGGGGATCATGATAGAGTAGGTACTGGTGGATTCCAGAGGGGAAGAGATCCTGTGCTCTCTCTCTCTCAGAAGAGTGATGGAAAAATGGTGAAACCCCAAAGAGATTTGTGAGATCTGATAAAAAGCTAAAGAAATGTGGGCAAAAAGGGCTTCAGATCACCTCACAGAGCATGGAAGTATGCACTGGCAACGGCATGGAAAAGACATAATGATTCATCTCTTCTTGATCCTTTGCCAGGAGCTGTGGAGACAGCCATGCACCTCAGGGCTGTAGGCAGATAGGAACTGTGGACACAGCGTGGATGCCAAGCAGAAAACTGACAGTGATGTTCAAGGGATTACCCCTGTGATTGCAGTTCTGTGTCTACCTCCTAACTTAGAAATTATCCTTAGAAAAGGAAAGAATCTACTATTAAGTGAGATCATGAGTCCATTACACAGGTGGAATAGGATTAAGAATAGGAAGTGAGGTAGACTACAAAAAATAGATATATTTCTTGTATACTTATATCCTCTGCTTATAGAATAACGTTTTATCTACATCACCATAAATTCTGCCACTTAATTGATTTTTTATTTGAAAATTAAGCCAATGCTAATACAATACACATTTCTTCAAACATTACCCATACTCATTTAGCTGCTCCACAGACTGCAGATCTCACCATCCTTTGCCTGGGTGTACAAGTGTGCACATCTCAGGTAACAGGTGGAGGGATTGAGTTCTCTAGTTAACAGTCATTATGTTTTCTGGTAGAGTTCTTCTTTGGGACTCTAAAAAAGTTGCCTATGTATTTCAATTCAGATGTTTATTAGTAACCATTAGCGCAGGTTGCTGCATCTTTAAATTAGGGTCAGTTTTCATTACCAAAGAATAAAAGTTACGAGCTTTCTACCTACTCTCTGTGCCTGTTGTAATATCAAAACACATTCCTGAGTGACTATAACATTTTAATAGCCAATAAAATGGTGATTCAAAAGGTTAAATACCCATAGCCACAAACCACTAACATATGAATATTTTAAAGTTATGTGGAAGTCCTGTTTTAAATATACTTAAAATTAGAAAACAAACATATTGTAATCTCTCACTCTTCTCTGAAATGTCCTAAGCCATTCACTGTTTTTAAAAATTGATCTTCTGAAGGACATTTTCAGAGTTCGAGCAGATTTATTATAATGACTTTAAACATTCTTTGGTATTTGCTTTCTTTGATGTCATAATGCTGAAGAGTATTTTTGCTAGTATGTATTCTATTGCATTGCTTACAGTTCACCGATGTGCAAATCCCAGTGTGTCTGACATCAGT